GAATTTTAGATTCTCCGTACGAACTGGGGATATACACATATTACTTGCTAATATCCTTGTAGGGTCCCTAATTGTTAAAAATCGACTTATAATCTTGAACCACAAAACCCCAATTGCATTACTATTACTAATTAAGAACCACATCAACAAAATTAGTGAAATTTAACTACGTACATATGTACTTACATATTGGCGGGGTTGAAGAATGTTGGCGGGGTGGAATAAACAAGAACAGTATACAGGCCTTAAAAATATTACAAAATTTGTACAGCCTACATAAATACATGTGTGGGCAACTAATTCGACACCAAGCTCACCAAAGGAAACCACAGCACCCACAAATATTCCACTTTGATTCTACGCTGAACCTGAAGTACGAGACGAAGGTCAACCTTGTTGAATGTACATGCATATATAATTTTTACACACTACATACGTTGGTACATACATATTTACGAACAACCAAAACAGGCCGCATGCCTGGCCCAACAGTTCTGGCATAGGATCATGCAGCAATGCTATACTCTAAAAGCATAACGTCATGTTTATTCGGTACAAGGAAAATTTTGGTTGCTGTTCAACTTCCTATGGAGGAAGAAATTAAAACAGTTATCGATATGTAAAATACACCTTATTCCGTTCAAGATTGAAGACAAATATGGGACATATTAATTAATTATCGTTTTTTTTGCACAAGCCGAAACCCTTCACCCAGTAGGAGGACAAGGATTAAAGACAAAAATTGAGTAACCAGGTCTCTGTCTACCTCAAAAAATCCGTTCATATTGCACAGGAAAATGTAATCAAGTAAAATATGTGTGCAAATTACATACATTTGTAATAACTTTTGTTCTCGAAATTAATTTCCATGCGACGTAAAACCCTAATAGAAATAGAAAACTGAACAACGTTTATAGGAAATAAACAAAAATATGGTAATCAAGATGACCATTTTGTCCATCAGCGTGTCTAATTGAATGTTTGAAAAGTTCATGTCATTTAATATATGCATGAACCACTCGTCGATTTACCTTGGGACGGATGATATCTATCACACACTTTTGCACCTAGATATTCGTTAAGTAATTATCACGGCTTAATATGAATTTATCCAAAATGTCCACAGAACATCCTACATACCCACTTTAAAAAACTCTGAATCCCAATCTCCAGCGAGTACAATACCAACTGTTCGCTTCTTCCTTAACCAAACTTTATTTGCTGTTGTTTCATGAAACTAATTACATTTGATAAACTGTAAAAAAATTTGAAAACAAGCAGACCAACTACTGATCCGATGTTTGCAACGCAATGTTACATACACAAACATATTTTTAATTTATTCTTTTGCACGTTAAGTGTATTTTATGGAATCTCAACCCTTTACTTTGTATTTTATCTCATGTAAAAGTCACAACAACCTTGAAACCTTGGGTTTCATATGTGTTGTTTTGCTTATGGTCATCTGCCCTTATTATGTGGAGAAAATTGCCAGATCTTTACCTACAGTTTGGGAATTTATCACAGCAATGACAAAAAATTATTTTCTGTTTACAAGAAAACAACACGAATGGAAATATTTACTAATTATGGGCAGCCTTTATGCATTTTTTTGTAGTTTACTTAAAAATAAATTGTAAAATTTTATCAATAGTAATAAATTTGTACTTGTAATTTAGCTTACTCCTATATATTGAATCCGCTATATATGTATTAGTTATCTAAACTTTCTATTAGTTTTAGAAAGTTTTCCTTCTAAATACTCCAACCAAGATGAACGCACAGGTGAACTAATGATATTCCTGATAAAATTAGCCTAACACGTCGTTGGCATCGGATGGCACAACATATTAAAAGCTGCACTCAAATACAATCATTGCATATGAGTTTACAAAGAAGGATGAACGCATACGGGTCGCTTGTGAAAACCATAATTCCCGATTAGAATATCAAAAACTGTACTAGGATGTGAATTTTAATTGTGTACATAATTAAAATTCACATGTTGACCATGCGATTAAAACCAATAGTGCCACAACGACTATTGACAAACACAATTTCAATAATCGATAAAATATACCTGCCTTTAATTTACAACTAAAGAGCTACCTATCAGCTTAAATGTTAAGGTGCACACCTGCAAATATACAGCTTGCAATGGAATTCAACTTATCACCCTAATAACCCTGACCATGCAAGAATACATAACGCAGCCCAGGGATAAAAACATGTTGCGATACGCAGTGACGCCCAGTTTCTCCCATATTTTCTTGATTCCTGCTTCTAGCATTATTGTGTTAGTCCCTCACCTGAGAAAGTGATGAATATGGAAGGGAATTTCATTACATTTTGTTTATCATCCTTGTAAGGGAAAAGAAAGTACACGTCAACGATCCTATTCAAGATGAGGACGGCTTCAAATATCTCGAGGACGCCGAACATCTTGCCAAATCGCTTAATTTTGCATTATTTCGTGGAGGTGGCTGGAGCAGTGGTCAAGGTGTGAACGGAATTGTACGGGGAACAAGTGAATGTTTAATTGCAGTTTGTAAAATGGCTTAAAAAAATTACATCAAACTTCAACGTCGAGATCATTGTGCGAGATACGTTTTCGCAAGATTTTTTCATGACATCCAAGACTGAAATAGCTGAAATTTGTGCATCACGACGGCACTGGTGTCTGCTGTACAACATACAATTGGGAAGAAATTTGAATGTAAGTTATAGTACGTACAATAGTTCCTACATAAGTAAATGATGGTATTATGGTGTTATGTAATTTACGCAATATTTTAAAATTTTACAGCTTCCAAACAATACGTAAGTAAGGAGATGGAGTTTTTCTGCTACTGGACATAAGTAACTATTATTATAATTTTAATCGATGGTGTGCATGTTTATATTGGTCCACTTTTGCTAAGATTTATCCGTTTACTTTTATCGTTACATACAGTGTAAGTCTATATTTTTACATTGATTATTGGGATGTTTAAAGAAAATCAAATCCGGTGTTAAATTTTATGCAGCTGATTGCGAAAAGCTTCATTTTAAAAATTTACATGCAATTACTTGCAACCGTTGTAATTCAGAGGGTGTACCAAAATTCGTTAGAAACATAGCCCCAAAGGATCTCGAGTATTTCAGACATGGACGCACCAGGCCTATAATTCCGTGACTATATAATTCTACCGCTTCAAAACGGGATAGCAATGTTGAAATTTTTCACTTCGATTCCAACCCTGATAATTCGTGCCTGATTATCTGTGGAAAGTTTTAAGGAAATTCTAACCTCTACCTGAACGGTGGAAGAATGGAAAAACCTAGATTTAGATCATTCAACGACACTAAACAAGAAAAAACTCCATTTAACAGTTAATCTATCATATCATAACGTCGTTATTTTTATTATTCTGGTTTGTTTCACCATTTACTTAAGTTTACTGCATGAGTTCGCAAAAAAAACACCGTGACAAGAGAGTACATATGTATGTATGTACAAGTTCAAGATAATGATCAACAAAAGAATCACTGCAACTTCACCTTTGCTGCAGTAAAATAAAATTCTTCTTATAAATAAATGTGCACCACCTACACGTACATATTTTGATTTCTGTACGTATTGGTAAAATAATTATTTTTCATGGTTTGTTTTTTAAATTTACATATGTATGTATATGGAACTAATTTCTTGTTTTTAATGAATTCTAAATTGTCTGCTAAGTTCCGACCCCCGTTGTCAAGCCCCACACTTCTGCGTAGTAGCAAAAAAACTTATCGGGTTCCACCAAAAACTGATGTGTGACAGCGAACAACACGACTGAAGACAGCATACCACTTCAATATCTGAACCAGTCGTATTTACATACGTGGGCGCGTGATGTGCGAAGAGCAGGATTTGTTTTTCTCTACCAAGTTTGTTGTGCAAATCCATCTAATTGAAATTTTCTATTTCCAAATATTTACATGCGTAACGGACCCTCTTCTGTCGGTATTAGTCAAAATCCATGGTAAGATATTCATCGAACTTGTGTGTCTATGTATGCACGCATATGTACTATTTTTCATCTAACGGAAGTAATATAACTGTACCACATGATTTGATAAATCGTATGGAAATAAGAACGGTATTGAATCGGTACTCATTATTAAACGTTAACAGGATACCTAATCGGTACAAATATGTAGTAACAATTCGGCGCCGATTCATTATCACTTGGTGCTTTATTTCGCTACCTTTCCGGGGCTAGCATTTTGCAGCTCGAGTATGGAATCAGGTAATATTTTACGACTAATTGGCCAATAACAAGTCCATATTCCTTGAAATTTTTCGTTATTGACTATTAGGCATTTAAAAATTTTACCGAAAGATGTTACCAACTTTTCTTACACCCTGTATATATGTATTAGGTTGCCATTTTCAATTTCTGAACTTTTTGCACACTTAAACATTACACGTGCCAAAAATATTTTTCCATCCATCAACATATATTACCACAGAAAGATGTACATATCGGATATTTTGCATAATCCGGGTCCGAGTACCAACTGGATTTTTAAAAAAACTTAAAAACCTAAAATTCAGCGTTTATGCGGTCGCATAGGTTTCAGAATTTACATTATCTGATTTTCAAACCTGGCCCCGCTTACTATGTTTATGAGTAAGCTCATCCCAACCCAGAGAACGGCCTCTGTGGGGGCTCCTGCTAGTTCTGGTCCGTCAGTGCTTCATAGCGAAGGAGCACCCACCCCGTACGTTCACAAAGCCAAGTGGGTATTAGCTAAAGTTTCCCGGTACTAGGGATCGAACCGCTCCTGCGTGGTGACAGGCTAACACTCAATCCATTAGCCCACAGAGCTTAGATTGGCAAGTTCAATCGTCAAGTTCGTCAGGTATAGCAGTACTAATTTTTAGTTAAACTTAAATATGTAAATGTGTGCCTACATACATAATGTCGTTCATACATACGATTAATTTAGTAGAAATAAGGTGAAGCTTGCTTTGTCAATTATGTAACCAATATTTTAAATCTATACATACTTATGCAGCCATATACATACATACAACTACATATTTGTGTGAATGTTAGGATTCCAATTAAAATCTGTCATCTTAACTTGTCCTCGACTCCATTGCAACAACCGCCACGGAAAATTTTGGTCGATGTGAAGTTTTTTCGTACCAATGTGTTTTGTCCCGAGATGCGCATGTTGGTTTGGAGGTCAAATTCAAGTTTTAAAACGGCACAGTTTCCTACAAATTAGATTCACATATTTTTCACGATTAATCAATTTACCGAGATGGAAGGAAAAATAAACATTTCATTTATTTTTACTAAGTCACCTCTCTGCGTAATCCTCATATCAAACAGATTTACACCTTCTGGACCAAATCGCCCCTCATTTCTTATCGAAATGTGTATCATTTTCTAAATACGTGAAACAAAATAAGATACAAATTTAACTAACGCACGGCTAACATAAATTTATTGAGGGTAAATATTTTTGACAAACATACCTTCCTTCAACCTGTGGAAAACATTGGTTTGGTTGAAATTTGGCAATGTAGGAGTCCTCAAGTGTATGTACAATGCGTAAAATTAGTTACGCCACGACCCTAAAACATACATACCAGTTTAATTAATTAATTTATATATTTATTATAACGGTCTTAATTAATAAATAATTGGGCTAATTTTATTTGAAAATTGTCAATAAAAATTGCTTGTGCTGCATAAAGTAAGAATAATAATAATTTTTTCCGAGAATCTGGGGTATGTACGACCAGTATTTTACACTAAAATATTTAGTTCTCACATACCATAAAAATACTACATTGTCCCGATAATTTGACTTTAAATAAATTCCAAACTAATTAAAAATATTTACATAATTTCTCAAAGTAAAATCTTACCATTCACTTCCCTAAAATTTCACGTCTATTACTGTGACGTTCCCATAGCCACGTCGTCAACTCAGGACAGCATATGGCCAAGAATTTACGGAATTTCCTCCAATAACTGTTTGATTTGATATAACTCACTTACATATTCCTATTTTGACACTGACATGATTCTCAGTATTAAAATCTGCATTTATTAACTAAGAATTTTTAAAATTTCAAATTACAAATAAGTCTAGAAACTAATTCCTGTACTTATCAGTGGTTGCTGGATGGAAGGAAAAACGTATGCAATTTGACCTGAATCCAATTTATGAAGCTTTATGCTTTACAATTTGTTTAACAAACAATAAAAGTTCCATACTCATAAAAACAAAACAAGGAAGCGAATATCGTATAAAAATTGGAGGCCATTGCGTAAAGCATGTTGTTAATGAAATTCAGCTTAACGCCCCCCTCCCCCAAATAATAATTATGCATCGCCTCCTAGGCTCGAAAACCTTGAAATTTCGTGTATTATACACTTTACCAAAAAATAAACCACATCCTTCCAGCACGGTCCATAAATGAACTGTGTTGATGAAGGAAGCAACCCATTTTATTTGTTGTACATACTCACGTCAAGCACAATTCACAATTTGAGAGCAATAAAACATTGCATTTATTCATGTATGTAAGTAAATAAGAGGTTTTTATCGAATTTTTGGCCATAAAGTACTAGAAATTTTACAGCATTTTTCAATATGTAACTGGTCACATGTGTAAACTCACATGTTCATAAAACATAATAATTGATGATATTTATTACGGAATTTCAATTGATACTTGTAATTTACAAATTTTGGGTTTAAACGTTTTGTACGGATTTATATATTTGCTTTCGAGTTTGTAAATAGTTTATAAAATTGCACCAAATTCAGCCAAATATTTGCCACAGAGGAAAAAATGACATACTGCGGTAGCGGTTTTTCATGTCAATCCAAGGATGAGAAATATGAAATGAAATATGTCTTAATTAAATTTCATAAAATTTTTGAATACCAAATAACCCAATAAATATGTCCCGGCATGTACATAAATTAATTAAAATCCTTGATGATTTTAGATAAAGTCTGACGCGAGTTTTCCTTTAATGTATGCTAAAATTGGGTGACAAGCATTTTTCACTGACCTTAATTTAAGAACAACCGGCATCTAAATATGTACGAATCAACCTTAATTTATGCCATTTTCTGTAGAACTGATATCTGTAGAATCAAAGATGTCTGCTTAACATGGTAAGCGGTGGCTATAACGAATAGAATAATAGATGTATTTTCACACAGAGCAAACTCTACTAAATCAATACTGCTAGTATAGCACTTACCTAGTCCTGTCTTAAGTTTTGTCCAATGCATAAATGAATGTAGAGCAAACAGGTTATTGAATTTTAAAAAATGAACAATTGTATTCGAAAGCCCATAAAATTCACTACAAAATAGATTGACTAGCTTTCAAAATGTCCACCTTTTGCTGCGACACAAGCCCGAAGTTTTGGCATCCAGCTCTCGATCGCAGTACGCACACGCTCCAAGGGGTAGTCATCCCATTTCTTGATGATAGATTTTTTTAGGGATTCCAAACTTGTATGGGGTTTAGAACATACATCCAGCTCCAATTTGGACCATATCTCATAGTCCAGCGGATTCAGGTCCCGTGATGATGCAGGCCATTCTTGATCACAAATGAAGTCAGGAATTTTGGACTTCAGCCACCTCTTTACGATTTTAGCCCTATGAGCTGGAGCTGTATCCTGCAGGAACGTCCACTCCTTATTTTTGAATAGGGTGTGGTTCAGTGGTTCCATAATTGGTTTGAGAACATCGCTCAAATAATTTTTGGCACGAACCTTCACCCCCTGAGGGACAAAATGTACTTTTGTCTTCCCATCCCAACTTGCACCCAACCAAACCATAACAGAAGCAGGATGGTGCGACCGATTGACTTCTTTCAAATTTTTGGGAATAGGCTGGACTTATTGGGCGTAGACCCGGTCATTTTGTTTATTGTATTTGGCCTCGACCGTGAAAATCTTCTCATCCGTGAAAAAAATCCGTTTCCATTTTTCACCCGCGTACCGCTTGATCAGCGCCCGGCTCCTGGCCAATCTATTTTTAACTTGCCGTGCAGTGAGCAGGTGTTGCTTTCCACGTTTTAAAGCCTTAAGTCCAAGGTCCACTTTAAGAGCCCTGGACATAGTTGTACTTGACACGTTCATTTGTATGGCCATTTTCCTTTGCGTCCGGCGAGGATTCCGACGAATTCGGTTCTTCAGTGCCTTGAGGAATTTTGGTGACCGTTTTGACCTTGGCCTCCCACTTCTTGGTCGGTCCTCAACACTGCCAGTGTCGAAGTAACGTTTTACGGTTCGTTCGACCAATTTGCGACCAATACCAGTTTGTTTGAGTGAACGGAAAATCTCGGAAATTTTTTTCCACTCAGATGTTGGTGAAGAATTGCAGCACGCTTTGTTTGAACAGCAATCATTCTGATACACTAAGTTTTAAAAAATATTGAAGCGTGTTATTTTATACGAAATTTCATGGAGAATCAGAAAAAAAATATATTAACTTTCCACAACAATTGCCAATATGTTTTTTTTGAGCGGGAAGTAGTGGACACAACTTAAGACGGGACCAGGTATTTTAAATGACAGACCGGATATCGCTCTTTCGAAGTTATGAAAATTATACGACAGCCATCCGACAGGGCATCCCGTATTTTAAGTTGTGAATAATGAAGGAGGCATTGTTCATTCAATTAATTATTTACCTTACATTATCAAGTATTATCATTTCTTATCCGCATTAAACATGTACAATGTAAACACTTGCCAGGTGATCCATTTGGCTATTGTTTCCTACTCACTTTCTAAATAGCTGGCATAATTTTTTAATTATGTATCATGAACAACCCATATCCGCTACTACATTAACAATATATAACATACCTGTTTTTATCTGCCCCAAAACATTTTAATTATTCAAAGCAGCTAACAAACTTACAGGATTTGCCAAGGGTGCGGCCAGTTATCCTTATCCAACCAAAAGAAATAGTATTAACTGCAGCCTCACTGCTTTAAATAATCACAGTATTAGAAAATGATATTGTACTACATTCTACCGTCTTTGGTTCGACACCTCAAAATTATTAGATTTCTTCGATGTTCATTTTTCATCTGGGACGAGAAGAAACACCAAATCGTATTAAGGGCATTGATGTATCATAAATTCGTCAAGGCATGGATATATTTACACTTTATCTACGTCCTGCTGCAAATCTTGAATCTTACGATTGTGAAATACACCTTTATTGAGAGCTCTGTTGGAATAATGATGTGCATTTTCTACATCCTATGTCTCGTAGTTCGATGGGATCATGTTATTGGGAAGGAGGGACCTGAATGTGTATCAATGCAATTGCATAATTACATAATTTCACGAACTAAGGGTATGAAAATATTGGCAAATTGTCTCGAGTTGTTACGCTATATTGGTTGGTTTATTTTAGAGGTTGAAACCTCATCCAAGCGCACCCCATTCGAGAAAATGGTAAAGCTGTTGTTCATCCTGATGGAAGTATCGGTTGGAGCACTACCTTTAAGTCTTATGACGCTAACTTATTTGTTTCCATGCATTCCTCCGTTTCTAGGATCCATGTTGTGCGCTGTTTCTAGAAAAATTGTCATACAAGACTCAATATTTCGACTCATGTTGTCATTTCTTGAATTTGTAATGATGCTGCAAATTGCTGTTGGAGCGATTCAATATTCTGGTTATACAATGGTATCAGGCATAATTATATTGTTCGCTGAATGTATGAAGACATTGGCCAGCCAAACTGGAGCAGATGAGCTTAGGATTAGTTCATACAGTAAATTACAGATATTACAACAAATTATCAATGACAGCATTCGGTACCGTATTTTACAAACATTTATTATCAGTATACCGGTTGTACAAATTATTTCCTGTTTTGCCACAGTTTGGCTATTGCATCAAGGAAAAATATTGAATTCCTTATTATTTGCTATATTCTATTTGGACTGCATTTGTTTCACAATGCTGATAATGAGTTGTGGTGGATTGTTGTACTCGAAATCAACAGCTTATATCAAGACGATATCCTCTGAGAATAATAAACTGCATAGAAAAATGTTGAAATCTATGCGGCCAGTAAAGGTGGTATTCGGCAATAATTTCATTGATGAGTTGACTCCGTTAGTCTTTCAAGGATTTTGTCTACAACAGACGGGATCAATGTTGATCTTGTGTATGTATGTATTTGGTGGGGTGACGATCCTGCCATTGTTGGACAGGACTAATCAGCTGCGTAAGCAAATGCTGCTTATTGCAGTCTCCCCAATACACGGCACGTGCCTTAATGTGTTGATTCCAAACCTCCCCTAAGACAGATAAGTCCCCCTTGACTTAAAAATCCTCCGGTCCTGACTATGAATTGAGTCAGGACCAGAAAGAGACTTGGTGGCTCCACCAAACGACAAAGTACTGGTGGCGTATTGCTACGCGACCAGTACGGGATCAATGTTGATCTTGGCGAAGGTGCAGTAAAGAAATGATGGAGGGTGTGGCGAGGAAATAAAAATATTTGCTATATATGCGTGTTTCGAAATGTCGAATTATTTATAATTCGACTTATGTTTAATTCATACCTACATATACAGAGAGCAATTTGCTTGGGTGATAACGATTTTGGTCTTTAATAACTCCAGAACGGAACTGGCTTTTGACTCCAAATTTGGAATGTAGTAGCATATGACCCTTGGCTCGAGGTTGGCAAAAATTCAGACCTCCAGGTGCAAAACCACACCCACCACTTACCTCAGAGTCAGATGGTGTCATAAAAACACTTTCCAAACTTAATTATTCGTATAACATGATAATTAAGCACGTCAGAGGTCTGGTATTTTCAATAACTTTTGATAACATGTATGGAATAATAAGTGATTTGACCAGAATCACACAACGCTAGTCTTGCACAACACTCAGGAAAGTACCCCATCGAGGTAAAAAATCTGGGAGTTCGCACGAAAATTGACCTTGTGACCTAAGAGTTGGACCCACCAGGTCAAACCCAGGTGCAGGGTAAAGTCTAAGGGCTCCACAACAACATTAAACGGGGCAGTCGAAATATTTTGCAAATGTTAATGGATGCGGACTCGAGTTAATCAGCGGTCGTGAACGCGTAAACAAACCATGAACTGATTTCCAAAATTAACTGGCAATTTTTCTAGAAATTAGATAACAGTGACTTATGTGTGTCATTTGACATAGAACTATATTGTCTACAAGGTAGAAGTAATAAAATAAAATAATCACTGCGTTTCAGTCAATTAAAAATGGGCAAAGTTGTGCTTTGTTTACTACGAGAACTTTTTTTAAAAAATTTTAGAGGCCGGTGAAATTGCATGTCGTCTCGTTTAACCATGAGTAAAAATTTTACGAAAAGTGTACGTAATGCGACCCGCTATATCCACCTTGAATAAAAACCACTTTTGGAAGTCTTAAAAGCATGGCTGTGAAATTTGGGGGGCCTGAGAGTGGCGGAATATCGTGGCGGAGAGAACTCTGACAGCCTAAATTTGACCCACGATTTCAAGACGGCCTTAAAAGATATTGTTTAGGTTAGAGCGGTTTTCCACGCCTAGAAACATTCTAAGTCTCCTGAAAAAAGTTGCAAAGCCAAATTCTGGCGTGTAAATTTGTATGAGCATGTTTTATACCGCCCAATTTTAAAACAACATGAGTTTGGAAAGTTTTATTATGACACCTACAAACTCCGGGGTCCGTAGAACGGGCAGTTTTGCACCTGGAGGTATGAATTTTTGCCAACCTCGAGCCAAGGGTCATATGCTACTACATTCCAAATTTGGAGTCAAAAGCCGGTTCCGTTCCGGAGTTATTAAAGACCAAAATCGTTATCACCGAAGCAAATTGCTCTCTGTATATGCGCATACATATGTGCATATATATCTATGCGCATGCAAGAATACATTTGACATTCAAATTTACATTTATGTATATGAATGCAAATATGTATAAATACGTATGTACATATGTGTGAATGCGTAGCCAAATAATATGTATATATGAACATACATAGCTCGAAAGAAGCCGTGGGTTTAAAAGATCAATAAACTGATTACAACGTGAGATTACAACGGGCCAAAAACACTCTAAATGGACTTCCAACGACTGGAAATAGGTCTGCTGGTCTGACGAAAGCAAGTTTTGCATTTTCGGGTCGGATGGTATGGTTCGAGTCTGGAGGAAACCTGGGGAGGCTCACAAGAACGAATGCCTTCGCCCTACGTGATACACGGTGGTGGTCCGATTATGGTCTGGGCTTGAATGTCGTGGTCAGGAGTTGGGAACTTGGTCATAATCGACGAAGTCACAACCAAAGAAGTGCACGTAAGAATTCTGAAGGAGAATTTGAAACAATCGGCCCGAAAATCTGGACTGGGAAGGAGCTTTGTCTTTCCACTAGACAATGACCCAAGGGTCACGGTCAAGTTTATCACAGAGAATATAAAACTTATTCCATGGGTTGCACTATCTCCAGATATGTACATCTTTGGTTTGAATTAGCAAAAACAATGTCATACCGGAAACCATCATCAAAGAAGGAACTAGTGAAAGTTTTGAAAGAAGAGTGAGAGACCATTGGAGAAAGCGTTTGTTGAGCCAATGCCAAGACGAATTTCCGCCCTCATTGCATCGAAGGGAGGTGCCACAAAGTATTAGCAGTAATTTTGTGCGTTATAATTTTAATGTCTCTTTTTTTAAGATTTTTTAATTAAAAGGTGTCCATACTTTTTGCGCCCTCGTTTTTTACATTTTCTCACAAAATTATATAAGAAATGTATTTATGTAATTTACATAAATAAATCATACTTACAGTTGAATACTGCACTAAATTTGCCAAGTATGATCAATTTTTCATGATATTTGGATAATAAATAATTATGAGTTTGTTTATATCATGAACATGAACCATATCATGCAGCAAATTTTGTATCGTGGGTGTACATAGATGCTATCCCTTTAGAATTAATTACAATAGCAAGTGTACGCATGTACGAACTAGTACCGCATTGAGAACCCAATATTTTTATGCGAATGTTGAAGAAAATAAGCATTTTACAGGGATATATTGTGAGGTGAAAAATTTCTGGAAATAATTGAACAAACGAAACATCGCTGGTCTCATGTTTCCATTGCATTTACAGCTAATCCAAAAAGTATTGGCAACCCTAAATTTTATTTTGTAAAGTTGGCTATAACTATTGCATCCGTTTATCTATTCTCATGAAAAATTGACCATATTCGACAAATTGAATACGTTACAGACTGGTAATAATGATTTTGTCGCTAAAATTTTGTAAACATAGTTTTTAAATACTGTAATCATTTAGGGACTTGCAACCCTTTATTCTCAATACTAAAATGTTTATTACACACCAGATTCCAAAACTAAAACTATGACTAAAAAATATAATCGTAAAATTCATTCCATACATACATTCTCACGTAGTACTATTGAGATATATCTATATTATGTTTAAATCTGTATTCAGATTATCATCGATTTATAATTGAGCAATGCTTTTTGGCTAATACGCGTTTCTTTGTGAAACATGTTGCACGCATGTATGGGTAAATATGCTCAACAACGTGTTCAGTGTTTATTCGTCGTTGACAGAGTTCATAGATCATCAGACACACATACGTAAATAAATATGTATGTACAAATGCATGTAAATATGCAGTTAATTAGCAGTCGACTCGGCCTAGTGGACAGACTCTGAATAGTCTGGCCCAATGACTGAGAGTTCGAATCCAGTAACTTTGCAAAAGTGCTGGAGGAGAACTGGCTGCTAAAATAAAAATATGTTTGATGCAGGCAAGTATGTATTGTATAGGTAGTCTGGGCTGTCTATGATGGTTTGCATATCAGTAGCAACCACCGCTTTTCCGTCCCTTTCCATGCTTCTTACAAATCTAGCTAGTTCTGAATTTTCTCCCAGATTTGAATATTCTGATTTTCGCTAGTAATCTTTCCCTCCGTGTTACTTATGAAAACCAGTCAAAATTTGTACTGATAAGGAATATCACGTTAATCAACGACAACAAACAAACAAACAAACAATATGTGCATGCGTATAAATAAATAAATAAATCGGTACCATTACCTGTCGTTTATTGGTGGCATTTATAAATTATAGTTTACAGTTAGCATTTACGCTAGACAAATGTACATACACTACATAACATGATTGAATCACCCTTTTAAAAAAAATTCAAGTAATCATATCACGAGAACGACATGGAATATTTCAAATATTTTTTCAGCATTTATTGGTAATATAGTTGACTTTATTCTTACAAAAGTTGGGACAAATATGATTAACTGTAGCGCTTATAAAAAATAAAATGTGCGAGAAAATGAAAAACGGACGCAACATAAATGCGTCACCCCTCTGAATTTTTAATTGTGTTCACTTTAGTTACTACCAAACCTAAATTCATGTATGGACATTGTGAGATAACACAACCCCAGGTTGTAAAAAAAATTACCGTGAAACACTTAACATGGCCTGCAGAAAAGAAATTTCAATTAAAAAAGGCGAGAAGTGATTGCTTATCATAAGAATGGACTTGGGTATAGAAAAATAAGCAAGATAACAAATATACTTACAGTGCAGGGTTTTCTCATGCAATACTGGGATATTGATGGGACTAATTTTAATTTGTTCCTACCCAAAAATAAGCGGTCACGTATTTTTGCGTTTCTATTAATGCGCGCATTTGAGCGCGTGGTGGGCAGTTAAAATATTTTTTCAGCCAAAACGTCCGATTTTCAAAAGGCTCTAACTTTTTGAGTTTTAGCGCGAATTAAAAAAACTGAAAACATATATGCTTAGAATTACTTCCTTTACAATATAAAATTTTTTATTTTTTTTTGAAAATTTCAATTTTTACCCAAATTTCGTATTTCGAAAAATAGCAACTCCTACAAAAATTGAAGTTTTCAAAATTTTTGATTTAATGAAATTTGCGGGCAATATGAGAGGTGTTGCAGTCCAAACGGGACAGTATCCCTTAGAGATTTTCTCAGGATGGCTCAATACGATGACATGCGCAGAGAAGTCGGCGGCTCCCTTAGGTGGGCTGACCTTCCAGTCTCGGGCGACGTACCCTCTAGCATCGAGAGCTTCAATCACGCACTTGCCGTCGGCGTTTCCTTCATTGCGCTCAATCTTCCATACCATCTTGCAGGGATGGGCAATATACATGAAAATGTATATTGAATATACTTTGTCAATATACTCAAATATTCTGCTTAATATACTATACTATATACAATATACAACGACATCGAAATATACAATATACAAATATACGTATATAATATACTAGATTTTTGTTCCAGATAATATACATGTATATTCAATATACAATTTCAATATACTTTTTCAAAAAATAAGGAATCAAGCCAGATAACGTCTTAAAACCGTTGACATATTACCAACTTTGATAATAATTTTAGGAAATTTTGGTTTGTAATAGCATAAAATAACCAAAATAAATTTTAACAAAGGATTTTTCGTCTAAAATGACAATGTAATCATCTTCATATCGTAGACATTTCAGGTCAGCAAATTATCAGAGGTAGGCAAGGTACTTTGTCCGCAAGATACAAGAAATACTTTGTCAGACAAGATATAAGATAATCCTAGTTCACGCACACAAGATACTTTCCTAAAGTTGAAGTACATACTTATGAAAGGATTAGTTAAGACGCAAGATATGTATCTTAAGATACTTTTATTTTTTCAACATATAAGGTGGAATAATCGAACCTAACAGATAAGTTTAATGGAATTCGAACGCAAAATTCAAACTATTTAGTAATGACAGTTAAGAATTTTAAAAGTTTTATAAGCTTCAAGGAATTTCAAACAAGTTACACCTGTATTTAGATAGGGGTACTTGGGGAGTGCGTAATGTTTGTTTTGGTACATCTTACTCAAATTGTCGTAAAGTATTACGTAGTGTAATACATTTTTGCATAAATTGGTAAGTATTTGTATGTACATGTGCATACAAACACATGCATACAATACCTGTAAAACAATCAATTATATGTTGTATTATTAATTCGCAAGAGCAAAATTTTTAAAAGTCGATAATATTACTTTAAATAGGCTGACCATCAGTCATTGTTAGAAATTGACTTCATTTATTGAATAAATTCGATACATTTAACCTTTTCACAAATTAATGAAAAAAGAATCCTATATCTTGAAAGTATCTTAAGATACATTTCTGCCGGGCATCAATGGATAAGATAGTTACAGAAGATACTTTTCATCTGCAACAAGATAAAATATACAAGATACTTTTCGATCAAGATATAAGATAACCTTTAAATAATCAATGTCTTCATCAAATTAGAATTAACGTATAAAAACTTTTATGTGCAGTTAAAAAATTAAAGTCGATAAAAACGTTATCTGGCACTCCTTAAAATTATAAAATACTATTATCTAGTGCATTTTAGCGGGTAAAATTGAAATGTATATTGTATATTCGGAGGACCGTTTTTGCTCCCAATATACAATATACAATATACTTTTTTCTGAAGATTTTGATATACAATATACAATATACAAAAAGTATATTATATACTGTATATAATATACTTGTATATTCAATATACATGTATATTGCCCATCACTGACATCTTGTCGGAAACCTCCAACATGTTGTCTCCGTTCCATCCAGAAATGGGGACAAAGGGCACGGAAGTTGGATTGTATCCAATCTTTTTGATGTAGCTTTTGACTTTATTCTTGATTTCCTCGAAACGAGCTTCAGAGTAGACAGGCTCGGTGGAGTCCATTTTGTTGACTCCAACAATAAGCTGTTTAACTCCAAGGGTGTAAGCGAGGAGGGAGTGCTGACCAATTTGTCCGTTCTTGGCAATACCGGCTTCAAACTCGCCAGTACCGGCCGTCACGATAAGCAAAGCGTAATCGGCCTGCATACGTTAAAACAAAACAATTAATTAGTATTTTCAAACTTTTAATTTAATCAATATCAAATTTAAGTTGTTATCAATAATTTTCATGCAATTATTAAGTGGCCAATTTATATCACCTGAGATGCACCCTGCACGAACTAGGTCAAATAATAATTATGCATCCAGCTTGCCTCCCAGCCTCGAAAAAACCTGAAATTTCGTGAATGATACACTTTATCAAAAAATAAACCTCATCCTTCCAGCACGGTCCATAAATTAACTGTGTTGATGGAGGAAGCAATCCATTTTATTTGTTGTACATACATACACTCTCCTAAATCTGGTAGTGATTTTTTATTATTATTACTGCGTGGAGTATCTATGTGACTCTACCGGGAATCCTAATAACCATAATTTCTGCTTGGTAGCTTATCGGCACACAGCGGTAATGAAAAACATACAAATCGGAAATACATCATTTCTGGTCCCGTAGCAAATGATGATATTACTCTACCGGATTTCGGAGAGTGTACATACTCACGTCAAGCACAATTCATAATTTGAGATCAATAAAACTTGCATTTATTCATGTAAGTAAATAATATTTTTATCTAATTTTTGGCCATAAAGTACTAGACATTTTACAGCATTTTTCAATATGTAACTGGTCACATATGTAAACTCAAATATTCATAAAACATAATAATTGATGATGTTTATTACGGAATTTTCAATCCATCCTTGTAATTTACAAATTTCGGGTTTACACATTTTGTACGGATTTATATATTTGATTTGCTATATATATTTCTAGTACGTAAATAGTTCATAAAATTGCACCAAATTTAGCCAAGTGTTTGCTGCAGAGGAAAAAATGACATATTGCGGTAGCAGTTTTTTTTTCCTTTTTTCATGCCAATCCAAGGATGAGGAATATGAAATATATCTTACGTAATCAAATTTCATAAAATTCTTTTATCAGAGAACAATCACTCCTTAAGAACAATTTGAACCCTCTCGTCGCCTGTCTCATTAACATCAATTATGTCAATCATATTCTGAATTATCTCTTGTAGCTTTTTGTGTTGCGTTCCGAAGTCTTGGATTTTCTCTAGCTCGGTTTCCAGTTCCTTCATCAACCGTCCGGAAGCCTTGTATTTGGCCACACCTACCATACTCATTGCTACTCGACCAGTTCCGATGGCTAATCCTATGGCACCCAGGACTGGGTGACACACACCGAAGGCCAATGATGTAGCTATTATGGAAAACCCACCGGATGCTAAACCTGTTGCGGAATCAAGAAGAATGCCTGTTCGCTTGAATTTAAGGATTTTAATGCCCGTATCGACTTGAAACTCTAGCCCATCTAATTATTAAACATTGAGAAGAATTATCAGGTTCCCATTAGATTTGTATTTGATTTTCCCATCTTTATATCATGTACTTACTTATGCAATCGCTCATTTCACCTAACTTTATTATTAGTGCATCCTTTTTCTTCGTCATTTGCCAGAAACCTTTAATAGACATGGATTTGCCATGGATTTTGTACAACGATTCGAATTCTTTGAAAAGCTCTTCCGCTTCCTCCTTATGCTTTAACGCTTCCTCCAATTTTTTTCTGGATTCGTCTCGTAAATTGGTTGCATTGTCCACGAATTTGATAAAGTCTTTTAGACGCCAAAATTGCACGGCGAGAGCCAACACCTCTACGGTTACTCCAATACCCATAATCCAGTTTAATTTGTCGGCATTATGCGTCAGTCCAGGACAGGGCCCTAATTCATGTACTCCATCCGTTATTACGTGGTAGACTTCAACAGATTTGTATATTAAAGTGGTAAACCCGCAAATACAGTAGGAAGCAGTAAATCCTTGACGTCGGGGGGAGCCTAATTTTTTTTGTAGAAATTTTATTAAATTCTGACTTATATGTCGAGTTTTTATATATTAACGATTCATAACGTAAAGCAATTTCTTACCTCAGCCCAACATTTCTTTGCCCATTGTAGTATTGCCTTGAATTCAACCTTAATCTCTTCTACTGACATTGCGACCTGATGAGAAGAATATGTGTAGATAGGACAATTTCAATACCAAGATGAACTCCTTCCGAGAGAAAATGTGGAAGCTCAGTCTACTAAATATTGGTCAAGGTTTCACAATATTCGTGCTTCAATTGTGGAATTGTTAGTATGTATAAAATTAAATGAATTGATGTTGCACAAGCAACGGTGACAAAGAAGCTCTTGTGTATACTGGAGGCTATAATACCCATGGGGCGTGCATTTATATTTAGTTGTGAATTATGCAGATCACCATTCAATAAATATCAAAGCCCATGTTCAGGAACTTGATACCGAGCTTATCTCAAGTACTTTATTTTTCATTCGTGGAACTGAAAAATAAATGATGTGTCACATCCTGTGTTTCACATTAAACCACACACAACTCCCTCGCGCCAGTATGTAGCAATGGGAGGTTACAGAGGTACTATTTACAGAGAGTCCGGCAACTTAAAACGACCACTTTACCTTATTTTATAGCAGGCGTAATTTTCGTTTGTGAATTTTTGTAATTGGCTCAATATGTAGCCCTTTACTTTGTCGAACGAGACGCAGTCGTTTTTTCCACGCAGCCATCACGTTTGACACCATTTTCGTGGTGATTTTCGACCACTCCTGCAGGACAGTTTGCCAAAGTCCGTCCAAACTTCTCGCTTTCCTCTTAAAAAGGCACTGTTTGAGGTACCCAAATCCAAAAAAGTCCATCGGACTTATATCGGGGGACTTGACGGAGTATCTGAAGTTGGTATGATAGCTATTCCCAATCTTTGTTTTAATTCCTTGGCGTAAGCGGCCGTTTTCCGGGAGGTATGCGAGGACGCCTGATCGTGATGGACCACGACGGATGATGTCTTCTTGACGTACAGCTTGCGAACTTCAACCTCCAGCCAAGGCTTTAATACTTTGTCAATATATCTAGTAGGTCGAATTAATTTTAACCTTTGGTGACACTCTATGTAGTGGAAGGACCCCTTTTCCTGTTATTCCTCCGACCACCATTAACTTGGCTTCGTAACTTTCGTTTCTCACCAACACCCAACTTGTCGGCACTGGTTCTCCTTTTCGACGATAGCAAATCCTTCTCTTGCCGTTGCAATTAACCAAATAGAACCACCCCTCATCTATGGTGACTACATTTTCAAATTTTTTACCAGAGAGGTATTTTTCATACAGTTTCCGTGAAGTTGTTTTGCGATTCCGGATATGGGACTGTTTGAGAGCGTGAACCCGGGTTTTCCTCCGTGTCGATTTCTTCAGGTCATCATGTATTACTCTCCCAATTGTTCGCGCACTAACTCCCAACATTTTCGCCATGTTCACTAGGGAAGGCGGGTTTTCCTTTTTGGTGAAATTGTCAATTTTCTTAGTCACCTGTTTGGTTCTGGCTGGTCGAGGGTGTGACTTTCGTGGGGGTGGGAGTCCAGCCGCTGCAGCTATTCTCTTGAATCCAACGTTTTTCAGTACATTCAAAACGTACGTTTTACCGACAGTGAATCCATTTGCTGCCAGTTTCTTCACAATCTGTCTGTTAGACAATCCGTCGTTGGAAAACGCCTTGACTAGTGCATCGCACTCGGGGGGTCGTTGGGGGGGGGCATTTTAGCACACTGATAAAATTTGTTATTTTTCTACTATTCCTAGACTAAATGAGTATGACATATGCAAGTTTGGGTATTCCCGGGTGTTTTTAACCCATAATACTCCTATAATTAAGGTGGTCGTTTTAAATTGCCGGACTCTCTGTACTCGTACTAATTCTAAAAGGGAATAAGTGCAGTCCATGCATCATTTTAAAAGGTGTAAAGTGAACCAGAATAACATGTAAATAGACTGCACTTACGCACTTTTAAAATTAAACATCGACAGCACTTATACATACCCTTATAAACTTAATATGATATCTAATAAATATCTCAATTCATTAATAAATTGGAGTGGCAAAACTACTGACTACTTCATTCCCTTCATTCAAAGTGTGAGGCAAGCCATTCATTCATCTTCATTCATTTTGAATGAATGAAGCCTTCATTTATTTTGAATGAATGAACCCTTCATTCATTTTGAATGAATGAAGCCTTCATTCATTTTGAATGAATGAACCCTTCATTCATTTTGAATGAATGAAGCCTTCATTCCCACTTCATTTCAGCAAAATGAATGAAGGTGCACAGGTATGCTCTGACATAGTCATCTAGTCATTGTATGATTTTCCGGTGTATGTGAATGATTACAAACCAATGCGAAACTTAACATGACGACCATATGTAAAAAATACATATGGTCGTACTAATTCTTAAAATACTTAAATACATTCGATGCTTAATTAGACTTAAGTGCAATCAATGCTTAATCCTAAGAAGACTTAAGTTCACAAGAACAACACTATACTTACATCATTTCAAAATTAATCATGGACTACACTTAAGCCTTTTGAGAATTAGTACGACGATGATCTATGTCGTCTGGAACCAAAAGAAGAAATAATGGAGGTTCGGTTGATTGTCTGATTGAGTCATTTTACTCCATTTATGCAGCTAATTGATTATGGGGTTTGCTAAACTGCATCCAATTCCCATGTTCATTCAATACCATTATGGGATTCAATTTTATTTGGATCCAACTCATATTATAAAAACTCAACCTTATCGCTTTATACTTGTGTGCATACTGACTCATGAGTCAGTAATGCTGCAGCAGTATCTACATCATATTATAGAGTGGTGGTGGTTCGTAAATGTATATAAATTAAGTAAGCGCATATTTTATTCCAGTCGTCATTGCTAAGGACACATTATTGGGAATAGCTGGTCTTGCATTCTACTCTCTTGAACGATTTCATAACGAACATTTTGTGATTTTATATTCTTATTTATCTTAATTTACTGACGCCTATGCAAATTCATGATTATTATTTTATGTGACAAGGATTTGGACATTTCTCAATTTATCTCTTGTAATTTTCCACGTTTTCAGTATGTAAGAACTCTTATCTCTATTTGCCTAACCAAATTATCTGTCTACCAGCCCGACTTACCTTGAACTTAACCCAATATATACCATTTCCTCCTTCTTTTCTTTGCCAGTCTCCAAATGCTCTTTTACATGTAACGACGGTTGGTTAAGCTACTCTAAATTTGTATTGAACCATTCTAATTTGACCAAGTAAAATCAGTAAAAATAATTCTTGCCACTTCGACTCACACCCACATTTTTACCAACATAAGTTCACACACATTTAATACCATCCCCATCATCTGTCAAATATTCTGGGGGGTTGATTAATCTTTTAATTTGAGTTGACATCGTCAAGGACTTTCGAAAGGTAACAAATTAACAAGGACGTATCCATTTACACTTTTATACAAATAAAATTTATAATTTGGTAATTGTTACAATTTAACAAGGCGACGTTTTGGATACGAATCTTCGTACGGTAAACAAACTTCGTGATTAGCAAACCCATAGGCAATTCTGAAGTTCGCGTTACTGTTTATATAAGTACCAGATTATAATCGTGGAATAACTAATGCGAAATTTATTATTATTTATCATTTATTATTATTTTGCTAAATTCGCGAATTTCAAAACCCGGCAAGCAAATTCGATCTCTGTATTAACGATTCACCCAAATTATTTTTTCAAATTATTTTCAACCATATTTGGCCAAGTTTGGACCAATTTTCCCTCAAAACCTAAATTTAGCAAAATCAGCCAAAATTGGCACATTTTGGCCTGTATCTCGAAAACCACTGGAGGGCCCCCCCCCCCCAATATTATTGCAGATTCTTAATCTACCAAAAATTACGGAAATTTTAAGCCATTATACAGCGAAATCGTTCGAGCGCGAAAAAAACACCTTATAATCGTAATAGTCTATATTAATAATTGCATATATTTTTTTATGAATATATTTTAATTGTGCTTTTTTGTTAATTTGAACCTGTAGAAGCGAGTGTGGTAACCTGATAGCATTCTATTTTCTTCCCACGATTTTGGGTGAGTCTTTTATACCTGGTCCCGTCTTAAGTTGTGTCCACTACTTCCCGCTCAAAAAAAAACATATTGGCAATTGTTGTGGAAAGTTAATATATTTTTTTTCTGATTCACCATGCAATTTCGTATAAAATAACACGCTTCAATATTTTTTAAAAATAAGTGTATCAGAATGATTGCTGTTCAAACAAAGCGTGCTGCAATTCTTCACCAACATCTGAGTGGAAAAAAAATTTCCGAGATTTTCCATTCACTCACCCAAACTGGTATTGGTCGCAAATTGGTCGAACGAACCGTAAATCGTTACATTGACATTGGCAGTGTTGAGGACCGACCAAGAAGTGGGAGGCCAAGGTCAAAACGGTCACCAAAATTCCTCAAGGCACTGAAGAACCGAATTCGTCGGAATCCTCGCCGGACGCAAAGGAAAATGGCCATACAAATGAACGTGTCAAGTAAAACTATGTCCAGGGCCCCTAAAGTGGACCTTGGACTTAAGGCTTTAAAACGTGGAAAGCAACACCTGCTCACTGCACGGCAAGTTAAAAATAGATTGGCCAGGAGCCGGGCGCTGATCAAGCGGTACGCGGGTGAAAAATGGAAACGGATTCTTTTCACGGATGAGAAGATTTCCACGGTCGAGGCCAAATACAATAAACAAAATGACCGGGTCTACGCCCAATAAGTCCAGGCTATTCCCAAAAATTTGAAAAAAGTCAATCGGTCTCACCATCCTGCTTCTGTTATGGTTTGGTTGGGTGCAAGTTGGGATGGGAAGACAAAAGTACGTTTTGTCCCTCAGGGGGTGAAGGTTCGTGCCAAAAATTATTTGAGCGATGTCCTCAAACCAATTGTGGAACCACTGAACCACACCCTATTCAAAAATAAGGAGTGGACGTTCCTGCAGGATACAGCTCCAGCTCATAGGGCTAAAATCGTAAAGAGGTGGCTGAAGTCCAAAATTCCTGACTTCATTTCTGATCAAGAATGGCCTGCATCATCACCGGACCTGAATCCGCTGGACTATGAGATATGGTCCAAATTGGAGCTGGATGTATGTTCTAAACCCAAAAAAATCTATCGTCAAGAAATGGGATGACTACCCCTTGGAGCGTGTGCGTACTGCGATCGAGAGCTGGATGCCAAAACTTCGGGCTTGTGTCGCAGCAAAAGGTGGACATTTTGAAAGCTAGTCAATCTATTTTGTAGAGAATTTTATCGACTTTCGAATACAATTGTTCATTTTTCAAAATTCAATAACCTGTTTGTTTTACATTCATTTATGCATTTGACAGAACTTAAGACAGGACTAGGTATATTGCTACAATAATACCGTGTTTTCGCCATGTATACAAAATATCGTATTAGCAATCACATAAATTGTGAAATTTAAAACAAATCTTATTCCATTCGCTGATTAAATCAAATCGTCTTCAAAATTCGATTGATGGACAATCAAACCATTCTCGTAAACATAGATTGCACACTTGGGAACAATTCACTCACATGCAATATCACATTAATTTTAGGATGATCTAACCTCAAGTGAAACACCTATATTGCAACAAGTTATGAATTCTTCATACTTAACCACTTGCCCCCTGATTTGTACATAATTTTCCTTCAGTACCACATTGGTTCCATTTGATAACTACCAATTAAAATTTCATGGCTTCAGTCAGTCTGGAATTTGAGTTATTTTTTACGAAAAATACGGAAAATCTGATTTGCAGCATTGGTCGATATAGCGAGAATTCCCAAATTTGCACAAGCAAGACAAACTTTTTACAAGCTTATAGCTTTTTCACAACACACCAAAAAAATTCTCAAAATCTGTTAGAGATTTTGGTACCATGTTAGAATGAATGAATTGTAATTACGTCACAGGTATGCAGTTGGGATTGTCGTTATGGTTAAAAGCTAAGTTAATGTCAGGTAGTTGGGAGGCAAGGGGTTAATTATGTACTCATAATCGGTGGAGTGATTGTGAAGTGGAGTGGATAGATCTTTGTATAATGCCTTTTAGAGTTTCTCAACGGGTTCGGGTTTATCGGGTTTCGGGTTTTTATCGGGCTCGGGTTCTGATACGATCTCCTTCATTCGATTCTTATCGGGTTCTGATTCGGATTTACCTTTAGGATAATCCGAAAACTCGATTCAAAATTGAAATACCAAATAACCTCTAACTGATATTTTTAGCACTTCAACCTTCTTTTAAAAATTCAAATTAACACTATAATATTAATATAGAGAAAAAAATTATTGAGCCAGAACAATTAGCGGAAGATCAAACTATATATTCGAGTAGAGTTCTATCGTTTTCCAAGCAAAATGACAACGAACGTGTTAGTTATGTCCGGAACCAGGATTCCCGGTGAACGCTTATTCGCCTTATGAACAGATTTGGTAACCCCAAGTACACAAATACTTAATCTCAAGACCATTAAGAAGACAAGAGTAACTGAGTATTTCAGAGGGTATGCTCCTTGGGAAATTGATAAATTACTGGAAGTATAACAAGTTTTTTAAGTCTAAAAGAATCTTTAACACTGGAGGTAAAAAAATTGAACTAAAAATACCACTAATTTCACCATTTCACACTTATCGGGTTTCTTATCGGGTTTGGGTTCGGATTCGGATAAAGGCAATCGGTATGGGTTCGGATACGGATCGACCCATAAAATTTCAGATTATCGGGTTCTGGTTTATTTCGGATACGGATGAAAGGTATCGGGTTCGGGTTCGGATGAAAGATTTCGAACTCGTTGAGAGACACTACTGCCTTTTGATGAACAACGGTAGCGATTATCTCTATGTACAACCAAGGATTTCTAAACTCGTGTAGTTTTTCTTCAAATAAATGTACACCGTGCCTCATAATATGTAGCATCCGTTCAATTTTCATCTACCAACCATAACAAAAACCTAGCACTTGCCAAAGCATACAAATTCCGGCGGTAGGTTAAATTGTTAGAATATCTACAACAATCATTGGAAACCTTGTGTATGAGCTGGGTAATTTTATTTATTCAAGAATTTCAACACAGTGACATGAGTTATTGGCCTATTGCGTACGGGGAATATGAATTTGTGTCCAAAAAATACATTCCGGGTTCAGCACTACGAAGAAATACAGTTGAGTTTAGACACCGATGATGAATTAGGTAAACAATTTCTTTAATAAATCAACTAACTCATGGGGCGTGTACTCTCCCATAACTTGAATCTCATTGGAGTCACAAAGGCCACCCTCATAATCCTGGAAATTATCACACTTTCTTCCCCAGAAGCCCCCATTACTGCTCAAAGATTCTATGTAGTATGCTGGGGACCTGGCGTGGGAACAGTCACCTAAAATGAATTTTGTTAGTAGGTAAGCTCTATTTCGCACATTAAAGATTTAATTACAAACGAGGTCAACACCGCAGCCTGGCTGATACCTGGTTATCACAAATTATCAAAAATTAATACCAAAATTATTGTACGCTTGTAATGAAATCGCTCAACCTCCCGCCATTTGGATACCAATCTACATGTCCTAGTGGGTCATAAAATGCCGTGAAACCATTGGCACAAGTGTGAATAACATCCACAAAATCCGCATCGCTTGGATCCGTCCTGTTGTCTAGGTGGGCAACGTCGAAAAGCGGCAATGCTGGATCGGATGCTGGAAAACCCGAACACTTAACCATTAAATAAATTATCTTGCCGTTCGTTTCGCAATTTACCCGTAATACGTCCAATCCTTCCTCCAGTAACCCTATTTCCAATTTGCCCCACTAGGTGTCCCCCCAGGCTGTGTCCGATTAAGTGAATATGTGAACTGTGGACTTGTCCAACGTCCATCAACAAATCTAATAGAGCTGCCGCATGTCGGCTTGCAATCTGGCAGTTCGCAACGGCCATAAAATAATCTGGTGACGTCGTCAACTTCGCCCAATCCATTATTATCACGTTGAAAGTCATTGGTGGTGGAATGTTCAAAAATGCTGTGAGCAGTTAAAAATTGCAAAATTATTACAAAATTCAAGCCTTGTTGCAATTAATTTATGCTTCAACCTGTACGAAGATCCCAGATATAAGACTCGTTGGGGTTCCCGCCAAACCCATTTACCAACATTTTTATGGGGGCTCGCAAAATAAACTTTGATTCCGTTATGGAGGATGGATCACCCACGATTAATTCTTCGGGGGTGAATGGATTTTCCCTGGATTTTTTAAATTAGATATCTCTTCAATTTATGAATATTTCAGGGATTAATACCTTGTGTAAAGGAAGAAATGAATATCAGAAACGTTTCCAAGCTTTGAATTAGAGCTAGGTGTGAGTTTGGCTGGAATCGGATAATTTGAGCCATTTGGGTTGGAAACCACACTAAGTTCTCCTCCGAACCATGAGTTGGGTGAAGAGTGTACAAAAAGACACAAACAAGAAACCCGAAATTGTGAGTGAAGAAGTTTAAAACACTTTTCATTTTTGCTAAGAAATCCGAAATGTGATGATACTGAATTTGCAATAACCCGAAAACAACCAACAGGCGAATACTGTGAATGAAAGCTCAATGCTGAACTTATCAAGTTTGATTGCATAATTTTAATTGTCATGTTGGTCTTATCGTGTTATTGCAATCTCCAAGATAACATTATTTGATTACAGCAGCAACTGTGTTACCAACCAAGTTCAATATTAAATGTCCAGCTTAATATTAATATGATTTAATTTTTTAAGCACTTATTTAACTATACACAGGGTATTTACTTTGAATAGTAATTTTAAATATTAATATTTAATTAATATTTATATTTTGAGATTGTCCAGCCTTCAAAATTATACGGGGACCCTATCAATCTATAGCTTTTGAAACATTTATGAATGGTCTTTAGAATGTGAACAATTGTTTGCGCGATGTGTATTTTTGTGCTAATAATTAAAACGAGATATATGTATGTAAATGTGGTTTTGTAAAAGGATGTAACACGTGGTACTATAGTTTGCGACTGTGGATTAGCAATTGCTGGAATACTTGCCTAACATTAATCATATTATCATATATGTAATTGTAAGTTTGACAGAAATTTAAGCTAGCCACAAATTCTTGTTGTCAACGTTTTTTGTTGAATTACGTATTATCCCATAATAATAAATGAAGCAAAGTATGTTGGTGGGCTAAAAGTGCGAGATAAATGGCAAAGTACAATTTTCACGCAACTTTAATCTCGGAGGTATGCTGGTGCGGGCGAAAACGAGGTAAAAATCTCGCTTCGCCCAGCGAAAAAAACTACTTTTTCACGCTCACGTGCAGTGAAATGACAACACGTCTCGGGGTAAAACGCCGACTCCGCGAAAAACCATAGAATTTAGTATATCTTAGCCAGTCATGGAAAATCTTCCAAGCTTCCCCCGAACCAAAAAAATTTCCCCCAATCCGATATTACATATAATGACCCAAAATTTTGATCTTAATATTAATACATACATATGTAGATTAATTCATTCACACCAAACATATTAATGAAATAAAGTTGAGTTTTGTCATATTCACGATGTTGCATAATATGCAACAGATGACGAATATTACGCGTCATCTGTTATTATTATCAACTCGCATATGATATGCACAAATTTAGTATGAAGTACTTTTTGTATGACAATTGACACCGTTTAGGTTCTAACGAAGGATAGAATGTCACACTTGCTCGCTTGCAGGGTGATTTGGTGACGTGAAGTTACTTCAGACAGGATGTATTCATACATATGTATGTATTCATACATATGTACTTACAATGCGAAGGCAAACCATGTTCCACTGTAACGGTATATTTTTATGACCACCATAGTTTGATAGATCAACTCGTCAGAAACCACGTTTGTTTCGACGTTTGAGCGGATAAGCAAAAGTCAGCGACGTTTGAGAGCTGGTAGTTCGCGAAAACGGGCGATTTCCTGAGGACAACTGTCGACCTTATTTTTTTGGCTATAAAATCGCAAACTCACAGGGCCCAGAAGTCGCTGAATTTTGCATATCCGCCCAAGTGCCAAACCAAACGTTGTTTCCGAAGAGTTGTGCAATCAAACTATACTGGTTATTAAAAAATCTGGATGGCACATGGTTTGCTATCGCATTGTAAGTAGAATAAGAGTAGAACTGTTTATCTAATTAAAAACTAAACTTGTAATATGTTTCTCACTAGGTATACTCGCGACCTGTCGTCTAGACCTATGTAGCTATCCCACTATGTTTTTTAGAATCTACTTAGGTCCCATATTAAGGATCCAATCCTAGTTCCGTGTAAAATTCATATTTGGCGCCGAGGCTTGGCGTCCAACTTAAAAAGATGGATTTTCGACCAATTTCAAACCTGTATAACTTTTTAGCGGGATTTTCAAAATTTTTGTATCACAATGATCACAAAAATCGGAAATCCAAAAATCGGAAATTTACGAAATAATTGAAAAACAAGTTTTTTCTGTTGTGAAAATTTAACTATTTGTGATCATTTTGGTTCTAAAATTTTGAAAATCCATCCAGAATCTTAAAGGTTATGGCGATTTGAAAAGTAAAAACACGCAAATTTGGCGAATTTGGCGCCACACCACGGCGCCAAATATGAATTTTACACGGAAATAAGATTGGATCCTTCATATGCGACCTAGGTAGATTCTAAAAAAACATAGTGGGATAGCTAGGTCCAGACGACAGGTCGCAAGTATACCTAGTCAGATTTCCCGTGAAATTGTTCGTATAAGTTTGTTAAACTTTTTGACCGAAGAAAAAAAACCATAATTCAATATATATGTACCGTATGAAAACTATAAATTGAAAACGAATAGGTCTGGAATTATTGTTCATAGAAAACAAAAATTACTAATTTTAAATTAGGACTACGTTTGCATTTAATTATTAAGTATATAATGCACTTAATTATTTTAATTTGATCATTTTTTCCGGGGGGACACTACCATTGCTTGTCCCCCTGAAAAATTTATCGGGGGGACATTGTCCACCTGTCCCCCTGCTTCCGCCGCCTATGCTGAAGTAGCATACTGAGACAGCATTCTTCTGCAGTGGAGACTGATACAGAGCCGTATTACTGCGGTGAAGGGCCTGACATGTTTCTGAGAAACAGTTTCTCTGGAACGAATGTTTGAAATTTATGAATCTTATTTAATGATAAAATGTGTTGAATTGCGGTATCTAAGAAATATATTCTTTACAATATATAAAAAAATAATTTGTGTATGACCATACATATGCAAGAAATATTTTTATCCTAGAATAAAGCTTCTTATTTTGCTCATGCATTCTTTAAAAAATGGTAATACAGTAAGTGCTAATGAACCAGTACCGGAAACATATATTCCACTATCCTCCACTCCAATATGTGCCACTTCCATATACATCTGTGTGTGTGTGGTATATGCAGTCAATAATAGTGTCCCACTTGTAATGGGGCTTTGGCGTGTTGATTATAGTGACCAAATGAGTGGACTTTTAGGCAAAGTTAATTACTTATTTGATGTTAGCAGGTTAAGCCAAATACATGGTAATGTATAAATATGTAATTATTCTATTATTAGCGTTACAATTGGTAACCCTAAATTATACGCAGATAATTAAATTGCACGCTCCAAAATAAAATTTCAAAATTAAGCATCACAGCAATTTTCAAAATCGTATGAAAATATGCACATGCATAAGTACAGATATGTACATACATATATATGTTTTGATAATCATTACATAGTTTTGATAATTGGAACTTTCCGCTGCCCACAAATTGTATCATTTTATTTAATAATTCTTAACACAAACTATTTTCTTCTTGTGTGTGGGTTTTAAAATGCAGAAAATTATTGACCATGAGGCCGGATGTTTCATATTATGTATTTACACAATTCAGCTGTCCCATAAACACTGAAATTATAAATAATGACAATTCCTAATAGACTAGAAGCATTGTGCAAGATTGTTCAGAAATTGTTGCTTCCTATCAAAAATATTTACAGTCCTACGGTTAAACCTGCTTAACCTTATAAAATTTTACCATAACGGAAACCATGAAGTAGTAACATATCAATATCAATGACATGGTGTTACGCAAATTAATACAGAAAAATCAACCCACGCGATTCTGGCTTCACCAAATTACTTGCTGTGTGCGCAGGTAAACTATGTAGGTGTTAACTGTACGGGGTAAAAGTACATTTGGTCGACACTTGAGTATCCAAAATTTCATAGACAGCTTACGAAAAATCAAAAGTTCTCTTCATTCATCAATTCGGCATTCACTACGAAATAATTTCATCCTATCAAGGCCGGAGTTTTTCATTCCCTTTAATTTGCAAATTTTAAACCATTCCTAACACACATAACTTTAAAAACATCGATTAAACAACCGACATCCTGCAATGAATCATTTAATTCTTATTTCACTCATGTTTAACCAAATGATAAATGGTATGTGGTTCTCTACCGATTTATTTCACGACTGTGACGTCCACTTCGTCACGTATGGGAAGGAATATCAACTTTCCCCCTTGCTAGACCAACTTATGATTCGCCACCGAAATTCTTATGCTTCGCAACTAATCGGTTCATTCCAACTGAACCAATCTGCTTATATCCGCATTGACTTGGACGTTAACTCAATCCCACAATTTCACAGATTTCGCACTCATCGTATTCGTGGATCTTTTTTATTCCGCTAGCCATCAATATTTCCTATGGGCTGTATTACGACGGTCTCCCTACTCGCAATACATATTCGCACACGTTTCGGAACCATATAACCCAAATTCCTACAAAAATTACTACTTTGGACATTCGCCGTCAAAGCTAGTTCTGTTTAGTGTCCATTACCCCGAATTCGTTTTCATACCATGTGTACCCTGTGAATCTCAAGTAGAACGATTAGCCAAGAACAGGCTAACCCTTCAAAAAGTTGATGTAGCATGGAACGCCCAAAATTTGAATCTTCGAGGTCACATAGTTAAACATCTGGGATGGCCACCGCCTAGCCCACAAGATGGTCTTTGTGGCCCTAGTTTGACACAATTCCATCAATCAACCTCAACCGAATTTTGTTCACTGTATATCCTCCGACAAAAATATAACGTTACTTATCGACACTGGAGTACAATGGATGACATGGACAATCAAAATTGCTACGGAATGATACAATTCAGTTCTATTCTTTCTAATGCAAGTATAGTCATAGTATTACAAAATTATATCCCAGTATATCACGTGACGTTTGAGAATGTCCGGTTTTCCATTGTTACTTCCTTCCCATCCGTTAGAAACGACTTTGCCACGTTTCTGCTACCATTTGACAAACCCACATGGATTCTGCTGATCGTTGCGTCCATAATGACTTCAACTTTAACTCTGGTGGACGTTTCCTATTTTGGATTTGTGTATCGATTCGGGGTAAAGGAATATCTTTACAACCACCTATTCCAACTTGCCGCCCTTTTGCTGGGTCAAAGTGCTAACGGTGACGTAACAAAGATTTTTGCCAACAAACGCGTCTCCATCGTAATCTCGATCGTCTGGTTATTTGGGTGTTATATTCTAATGGCAAACTTATACCAGGGATCAATGTTTTCGTTTTTGACGGTTCCTCAATTTCCCTGGTAACCTCTAGACTACCCATTGTAACAACAAGCACGTGGCGATCTTACCAATTA